CCCCCCCCCCCATGGAGCTGGGAAATGGTCAGCCCTGGGGGAAAGGCGGGAGGTGAAACCAAGCCATTTAAATAAGTGAATAGAGACGCCAGCCCTCAACCGAGATATTTAAAACCTCGGTGGAATGAACAGAACATAAATAAAAAGCACTTGGGAGCACCTGCTTCTCAGGTCCTTCCACCAGGACCACCTTGGCAACCTGTGCATATCGGGTTAGGGCGACTGACATTTTTTTTTTTTAAAAAAAAACCTCTACTCTTTGGAGATTTGATGATGAGCTTGGGTCTCTAAAAGCGATGAGGGTCCCGAGGCTTTTACAGGACGTACCTGTGATATATTTTATTATTTCAACCCCGGGGCGTCTCTGGAATTAATTACGCAATAACACTGCCACCTACTGGCCATTTCTTGAATTTTCCACTTTATTTTTAAAATTTTTTTTAACCCAGTGGGGGAGGGGCAATGTTCATGGTGGGTGGGTTTTTTGTGTTTTTTTTTTTAAAGTTATTGATTTTTGTTGTTCTTGGCACTGAATTTCACCCATAATCACTTTGGGGAGCTGTCCAGTTTTTATAGCAAATTGATTTCGGCCTCTTAATGTACTCCTTTCCCTCTGCCCCAGGACCTTTGCACGTGCCGGCTCGTGTTTGCTCAATGTGTTCTTTTTCTCACCCCGTCTCCGGTCGTACTCCAGTCTGCTCCTCCTCAGATTTCATGTCAGGTGTTACTCCTCCGGGAGCCCTTTCCCCTTCGCGACGAGCTCGATCCGACCTTGACAAAGCTGCTCTTGGTTCCCCAGAGTTTTTCCTTCCTGGCATTTCTCATGGCTTGTCATCGTAGAGTCGGACAGTGAGGTGGGCTCAGGGCCGTGTAGATCACGCCTCAGTCTTTAGACCTAGCTCACCACGACGATCCATCGAATGCATAACTCCATGCCTCAGTTAATATAAGAATGAACTGGGCCGTCTTCAAAATGGGAATGCTAGGATCAGAGATTTGGGAGCTGGGGACAACCGGCCCGTCTCCACCTCAAGTCAACTCACTGGAAATATTTCTGAGATCATGTCCCGGGAATGTGCATTCCCAAGATTGAGACTCAGGTCTGCCTGGATGGGCCGAAGAGCCTGGGTGGGTGTCCGCCCCAGCCCACCCCCACGATTTCTGCACCATGTTTGCCGTGAGGAGGGACAAACAACCCACATTCTCTGGTCTCTGTGGCTGATACCCATTAAGTTCCTCACTAGATCCTTTGGGTGTTTCTGGACTGCGGCCTGTGGGCACAGGCTTGCGCGTAACCTTGACTCCTCCATCAGGGTGGGCTACCTGCTGCAACAAACATCCTCACATAAGTAAAACTCAATGACTTGCTTATGTCACAATTGGCCAAGTGGTAATGCTGTGTTTTGCCCTGGACGGTGTGTCTAAGTGGTTAGAGCATCGGCTTGTGCAGCAAGAGGTCGGGGGTTCGATTTCTGCTCAAGGGCACGTACCTGAGTTGCAGATTCAATTCTCGGCTGGGTTGGGGCATGTGGAGGAGGCAACCCATCGATGTGTCTCTTTCACATCAATGTTTCTCTCTCTTTCTCTCTCTCCCTTCCACTCTCTCTAAAAATCAGTGGAAAAAAATATCCTGAGGTGATGATTTAGCAGCAACAACATGAAAAGTATGTTCTGCTCCATGTAGTCATTCAGGGATCCAGGATCCTCCCGAGGTCCTGGTCCACCTTCTTGGAGATCAGCCCTTCTCAACCGTGGCTCCTTGAGAGAGAATTAGGCTCTCGTGCTCAAGCCAGTCTTTGGACATAATCTAGTGTTTCCTGCACATCTGGGAAGGTCTTAGCTGTGCATCATCTTTGGGAGCATTGAGAAAAATAGTCACGGGAATCGTTTCTCGTACGGTATCATTTTCTTGTGTTGAAATAGGTTGGGGAGACCTTGCTTCTCACATGACTTGTGGGGAGTTAGGGTAGCAAGAGTCCAACCTGACTCACATCCTATCTCCTCAATGCCATGGGTGAGACTCAGTCGCGCCCCCTTGTAGATGCAGGGACATCAGGACATGGAGATGGGTGTGAGCCCCAGATTAGGAGGCAGACAGAGGCATTGACGATCACGGCACTCTCTGCCCCAGACCTCATCCTCGACAAGTGACGTTTCCATCCTGGACGCAGAAAAAAATTAGTGGGGTGTTTTCCATTAAGCTGCATTCATTCGCGTGAAGGTGCCTGCTAACCTGCTTCTGTTTTGTTTTTATAACAGATGATAGGTTGGCCTGAAATTGAGACTTCTGCTGGAGTGGCGTATGACCCAGTGTCGCCAGCTTTGCCCCAATTCGCAGACTCCACAGGGACCCGAACCACCTCGGTACAGGTCATTTAAACACTTAAACACGGCCGTGTCTATCAGCAGCCAGGGTCAGGTTTGCGTGTCTCTGTCCACGGGCTATCCAGGAAAATGCCCTATTTTTTGTTTTGTTTTTTAAAATAATTGCTATGTTTTTTAAAATTGATTTTTAGAGAGAGAAGAAGGGAGAGGGAGAGAGAGAAACATTGATGAGAGAGAGTTATTGATCAGCTGCCTCCTGCACGCCCCCTACTGGGGATCCAGCCCACACCCCCGGGCATGTGCCCTGATTGGGAATCGGAACTGGGGACCTCCTGGTTCATGAGTGGATGTTGAACCACGGAGCAAAACTAGCCAGGTGCCCCCTGTCTTTTGTAATCACAACCTTTCTCAACGGTTTCCCCACAGAGCCAACATGGTATTGGGTTTGGTCTATATATTATCCAGGTGGAGAAGGTACCTGGGTATCTATTCAGATGTCAGCTTTCACTATTATTAGGTTTCTGTTAGCCTTTGGATCATTTTCTTTTATCTGTGTTGGGAAAAATTAGAGAAAAAAACAAAAAACCCACACAACATAAATATGACATATATGTCTCCCTTAATTAAGAAAAAAAAAATCAGTATGATTGTATGACTCCTGAGCTATCTTTAACAACAGCACTTAAGAAGAATGTGTTTCTCTTTTTTTGTTTTCTAAATTTACCTTCCTGAATCCGGGCTTCTGGTCCTGCATGTCATCAGAAGATTGAACCCAGATAGAGTCTTCTTTTTATTATTATTATTATTATTATTATTATTATTTTAAATTAAATTAAATATTTTCCATCACCATTTATCCCCTCTATGAGCTCTTCCATGTCCATCCACCCCCACAATCACCATGCTGTTGACCATGTCCATGAGTTCTCTCTCTCTCTCTTTTTTTTTTTTTTGCATTTTTTGGCTCAATCCCTGCATCCCCCCAACTCCAGCTGTCTGCCTGATGTCTATCTATGAGTTTCCAGACAGACTCTTCTTACTAAAATGATTCGCAGGCCCTCGTCTACAGAAGATTCAACCCAGATAGAGTTTCTTACTCTCCCTGGGAGACTTATCTTCGTAAAACCTTCCGTAGGTGTTTGCTCTCAGCGAACAGAATCCCTCTCTGAAAAGTTAACATGGAGCCCAGCAGGCATGGCTCAGCAGTTGAGCATCGACCCAGGAGATCGCGGTTCGATTCCCGGTCAGGGCACATGCCCGGGTTGTGGGCTCCATCCCTAGCCGGGGGTGTGCGGGAGACAGCCGATCAATGACTCTCTCATTACTGATATTTCTCTCTCTCTCCCCCTCTCCCTTCCTCTCTCTGAAATCAATAAAAAACATATTTTTAAAAACAAAGTTACCATTGATCCATCGTATAAAAACTTGTAGCATCTCATCTTACATAAGAAACCCTCAGGGAAAAGCTAGGATTAGAAACGGCCATCTGGTATACCCGTTCGTTTTCATTTTCACCAGCAGGAAAGAGTTGTGTGTCATTTTGGTTAAGACTAACCACGGATGGTTATGTTTCTAGCAGCCAGCGGATCATGCAGGAGGTGGCCCTTCCGAGGAATCCATGGAACTAAGCCAGGATCCCCCCGTCAATGTCACCAGGGACCCCAGCCCTCAGGATGCGTTGGAGGTGGTATCCCAGCCATTGCTTGCTCGCTGCTCCTGCTGGGTGCCGTTTGCCATCACCGGGGCTCTTTGCATGCACGAACCTGCTGTTACTTCGATTTCCGGCCTCACTTGGTTGAAATAGAGTCTCCCTGCCTCTCCTGGCACCTTCGATCCATCCGTCTTCTCTCCAGCCTGGATGCTTGGTCCCCTCGCTCTTGCCTGTCCTGAATAATCATACCCTTTCTCTCTTTCAAAGCTGTTTTGCAAAAGTTAATTGGCGTTGGGGAGCTATGCTCTGTTTTGCGGTAGAGCGAGCGCGGAAACCAATGCCCAGCGATCCGTTGTCTAAAATCATTCGTGCCGGGAAAAGTGTACTGACCCCCGGTCAGATCCTTGTATGACCGTCCCCTGAGGATAATACGGAAAAGAATCCACTGCCTAAAAAAAAAAAAAAAAAAATCTTGGAAAAATTAGGACTAAGATTTTGGTAACAGATGGGAAATTGAATAAGTGATGTGTTCATAGCAACATTAGTTTGCTCGACTTGGTCCCAGATTCTCCTTTCAATTCTTTAGCAAGTAGTTGATTCCTTAAATATTAATATTAATAGATGCTGGATGAAGCCATTTAAAATTGGATGCAGCCATCTCTTCCTTTGTCTAAAATGATTTGTTGTGTAAAGGCTGGGGAATTTGGGGGTGAATCTTTTGACCCACACCGAGCACGCAACGATTTTGTCTTGAGAGACGCAATGAAAGATGCCGTCTCCATGACCCTTCCTCATACAGATGATCTCGTCTTAATCATCACCCTCTCCGTGGGTGCATTGAATGAAAGCGTTTGATAATGTTTTTTGTTTTTTGATAATGTTTTTTGTCTTTGTTAGATCCTAACAAAGATCTAATAGCCCAAGTTGGTCTTTAAATAATAGGAAATATAGTTTTCTAGTTGGGCGTTGGACTTAGGATGAAAGTTTGTACTGAACGTGTAGGTGTCTTGGTGTAGTCAAGCTGCTATAACAAAAATTGCCATAGCCCAGGGGCTTATAAAGAATAGATGTTTATTTCGTGCAGCTCGAGGCTAGAAGTCCAAGATCAGGGCATGAGCAGATTTGGTGCCTCGTGAGGGCATCTTTCCGATTCACCGATGGTGTCCTCTCACTGTGACCTCACGTAGTGGAAGGGATGAGAGAGCGTTGTGGGGGTCTCTTTTATAAGGACCCTGATCCCATTATGAGGGTTCCACCCTCATGACCTAATCACCTTCCAAAGGTCCCACCTCCTAATATCCTCACCTTGGGGGTTAGGTCTCAACCCATGAGTTTAGGAGAAGACACGAGCCTTCTCTCTGTAGCAACATCTATTTGGAGTTGGACCTATTACATAATAAAGAATTCAGTCTTGGCCGGTGGTTAGAGCATCCGCCGGTGGACTGAGGGGTTATGGGTTCGATTGTTGGTCAAGGGCATGTACCTGGGTTGCGGGTTCGATCCCGGGTACGTGTGGGTGGCAACCGATCAATGTGTCTGTCTCGCATTGATGTTTCATATCAATATAGGTGTCTGTGTGTAAAATGGTTTGGTGGCTAGACATGAAAACAATTCTTTTATTTAATTGAATTTATTGGGGTGACATTGGTTAATATAATTATATAGGTTTCAGGGGTACAATTCTATAATGCATCATCTATATATTATATTGTGTGTTCACCACCCCAAGTCAAGTCTCCTTCCGAGTCTCCTTCCATCACCATTGATCCCCCCTTTACCCTCTCCTACCTCCCCCACCCTCTTTCCCTCTGGTCATCACCATACTGTTGTTTGTGTCTATGAGATTTTTTTTTTTCTTAATCCCTTCACCCTCTCACCCAGCTCCCAACCCCCTTCCCTCTGACAGCTGTCGGTCTGCTCCCTAAATCCATGAGTCTGTCTCCACTTTGAAAACAATGCTTAAGAAAAAGTGAACATATGTGCAATTATATTTTATAACATTGCAAAATACTTAGGTAAAAGACATCTTATAATAATATTATATAGAGCCCTGGCCGGTGTGGCTCAGTGGCTGAACACTGTCCCAGGCACCAGGAGGGTCTGTTCAGTTCCCAGTCGGGGCACATGTCGGGGTTGTGGGCTCCATCCCCAGTAGGGGGCGTGCAGGAGGCAGCCGATCGATGTTTCTCCCTCATTGATGTTTCTCTCTCTCTCCCTCTCTCTCCCTCTGTCTCTAAAATCAACAAAAACATCTTTTTGGAAAAAGAATATTATCCCCAGTAGGGGGCGTGCAGGAGGCAGCTGATCAATGACTCTCATCATTGATGTTTCTCTCTCTCTCCCTCTCTCTTCCTCTCTCTAAAATCAATAAAAACATATTTTTAAAAAATTAAAAAGCAGCAACAACCAAAAGCCATCTCCCGTTGACGTGTCTTCCCCAGGTGGACCTGGCCATCTCCATTTCCGAGATTTCCATTGAAGAAAAGGTCAAGGAACTGAGTCCCGAGGAAGAAAGGCGGAAGTGGGAGGAGGGCCACATCGACTACATGGGGAAGGACGCGTTTGCCCGCATTCAGGAGAAGTTGGACCGGTTTCTGCAGTAACCCCGGGCGGTTGTGCGGTGTGGAGTGTGATTCCACCATTTTTCGTTGTGTGGATGTGTCCTCCAGGCCTTCCAAAGGCTGTTTAACTATGTGCCTCTATTTATGGTTATTTATGGTTGACCAACTTGAGTGCCTCACAAAAATAACATAGACCATGAAAAAGCCAGCTTGAAGCCCCCTGCTGATCCGAGCTCCCCACCCCTTCTCGGCTTCCTTGCGAGGTCAGGTGGACTTCTTACCTTGCCAGCAAAAGCAGCAGGTAGACCTCTGACAATGGTCTTCCCAGAGGAGCTTTGGAGTGCTGCCCTGGAAGGTGCTACTGTGTCTATCCTGTGTGGGGTTTAACATCACCACAGATTGTCTTCTGTCCTTAAGCAAATAACAGTAGTAATGTGAATTTAGTGCCTCGGGAACCCTCAACTATGAACATCTTTGTTTTCAGGACTCAGTAAATGTTCAGACATCTTGAGTGTGCGTCTCGTAGACCTTGCAAAGCATATCTGAGAAAGACCACGGCTGCCGTTTCTGTTGTATAAAACCCAACAGGACTTTGGAAGGCCATGGACAGTTGCCCGATTTGGGAAATGCCACAGATATTTGGAAGAAAGATGCTAGATGACTTGGGAGGAGTAACCAATTTCAGAACTGGTTTACCATCCATCCATCCATTCACTCAACCATCCATCCATCCATCCATCCATCCATCCATCCATCCATCCATCCATCCAACCATCCATCCAACCGTTAATCCATCTGTCCATCTAACCATTAATCTACCCACCCACCCATCCACCATTATCCATCCATCATCCAACCATTCATGCAACTATCCATCCATCCATCCATCCATCCATCCATCCATCCATCCATCCATCCATCCATCCCCACCTACCCATCCATCATTTATCCAACCATTCATGCAACCATCCATCCATCCATCCATCCATCCATCCATCCATCCATCCATCCATCCATCCAACCGTTAATCCATCTGTCCATCTAACCATTAATCTACCCACCCACCCACCCACCATTATCCATCCATCATCCAACCATTCATGCAATCATCCATCCATCCATCCATCCATCCATCCATCCATCCATCCATCCATTCATCCATCCATCCATCCATCCCCACCTATCTATCCATCATTTATCCAACCATTCATGCAACTATTCATCCATCCATTCACCCATCCACTGATGCAAGGGTTTACTCCATGTGATGTCTGGTGATGACTCACTCATGATAACAGCATCTGGAGAGGCTATTCGGAGGCAAATGCATGTGCAGCCCTTTACGCTCCAGTGCTCTTTGCTGGGTCTCGCTACCTCACTTCCAAATAATGTATCGAGTCGCCGTGCTCTTCCAGCCATTTAAACTCAGCTCTTTGGGGAGACTTCTCAGTTTTATGAGACTGGACACTTCCTTCCTCAAGGAAACCTCATTCTCAGAAGTACCCTAGTTTTGTGAATTTGTGCAGTATGTTGGAGCATCTCACTGCATTACTGTTCCATGCCCACTGTAATTATAAACAAACGTCATTGTATGAAACAGAAGGAATGATATTTTTTAAATGTTTGAATCATTTATTCATCATGTATGTGCTATTGAAAATCACAGGTTAATTAGACACAGGTTTGGAAGCAGGTCAGAGGGTTATGTTAAAATTCAGTGGGTGAGTTTGGACACTTTTTTTTTTTTAATAAGTTTTTTATTGATTTTTAGAGAGTGAGGAGAGAGATAGAAACACCAATGATGAGAGTTATTGATCGGCTGCCTCCTGCACGCCCCCTACTGGGGATCAAGCCCAAAACCTGGGTATGTGCCCTAACTGGGAATCAAACTGGTGACCTCTTGGTGCATGGGTCGATGCTCAACCACTGAGCCACACTGGCTGGGCTGTTTGGACACGTTTTCATCTGAAGCAATTAAGCTTGGCTAAGGGATTCTGGGTGAGTCGTTAGTTGTATTAGCTTGTGCAAGATGTGAGTTATAAAGGGGCTGTTTCTCTCTATGTCTGGGTGCTTAATGATCTGACCTTAGTTGCTGTGACACATGGGATACTCCAGGGGTTCATTGAAAATAGCCTTAGGTGGGTTGGGCGGGGTAGTGATCAACCGTCAGAATAATGCCATACATTTGCTCCAGGGTAAGGATGAAGGTGCTCTGTGCTATGGTGTTTGGGTATGAAAAACAGAATCCTGAGCCAGGCGTGCTTGCAACAGAAGTGGTCCAAGTGAGGAATGTTTGAGTCTGGCTCAGCTTCCCTGGAGAGAATTCGTGTTTATAGGTAGCAGTTCTCTGGCTTACGGAGTATGTTCAACAGGGATGTCTGTTTTGCAGTCTGGTGTTGGGTGGAAGCTAACGTATTCAATTAAAATTTTACAACAGCATTGTGGTCTCCCTTCTGGTGTGTATGTCTGTGTGCATTCTGAGCAATCAGCATAATGGTTTCTATTTAAGAGAGCGAAGGAATGTGGCTGCCTGCCTTTGTTCTGTAGTAAATTTAAATTACCAAGTGGGTTTTTCAAAATGGCGGGTAACAGTGTAGTGCGTAGATCTAGGGAAGCTGTCCTTTTCCTTGCATTGAGCTCATCCATCCATACATCCATCCATTTATCCACCCATCCACCCACCCATCTACCAACCCACTCATCCATCCATCCATCATCCATCCATCCATCCATCCATCCATCCATCCATCCATCCATCCATCCATCATCCATCCATCATCTGTCCGTCCATCCATCCATCCATCCATCCATCCATCCATCCATCCATCCATCCATCCATCCATTTATCCACCCACCCACCCATCTATCCATCCATCCACCCACATATCCATCCACATATCCATCCACCCATCCATCCATCCATCCATCCATCCATCCCATGGTATTGAGTTCTCTCTTTATGGCAGGCATTGTGACATGTTCTACAACAGCACATGAGACACCCAAGACCATTTGGACAACTTCTGAATAACATCCGTGTAGGAGGTATGACACTGTTCTGAATAACACCAGAGCCAGAATCTGTACAGCATAACGGCAGGACCACAGAATCATACAAGTTCAGTCCCCGAGAGATGTGATTTGACCTATACATACTCTAACATTTTGGAACGTAGAAAGGATTTTAAAAAACACATTTTTGTAGAAATATTTCATTCTTTTGGGGCAGAGAGAAGAAGCATTGGGAGGAAAAGCATTTCTAGGTGTACTGACTTGGCCAAGTGGATTAAGATTTAGGCCTTGTGCAAGGGTCATTTTGTCCTGTTTTAACATCCAGAGGTTTGAGGCATCAGGCGTGCAAGGCAGTTCCTCTGGAATGGCAGCTCTGGCTCTGTTTTAATGGGGCTGTTTCCTGTGTTGTTTATAATTCCTTCATGCTCATGTATTTTGCTCTTTAGATTCCTTCTTTCTCGTGGGTGAATGAACAATATTTCAATGCATACATCCACACAGGGTGCCCCCCCAAAACATGTATACACACTTGAACAGCTGAGAGCTCAGTTTTGAAGATGAAATGTATTTTAATAAACACTGCCTTTATAATTATTCAAAGTGTGTGTATATATCTTTATTCATGGACCTTTAGTTTGTTTCCATGTCTTGACTGTTGTAAATAATCCTTCTGTGAGCGTGGGGGTGCAGATAATCTGTTTCAGACCCTGTTTTTACTTCCTTCACATAAATACCCAGAAGCGGCCCAGACGGTGTGGCTCAGTTGGTTGAGTGTCTTCCAGTGTACGAAAGGTCGCTGGTTCGAATCCCGGTCAGGGCACATGCCCAGATTGTGGGCTTGATCACCAGTAGGGGGCGAGCAGGAGGCAGGCAATTGACGTTTCTCTCTCATCACTGATGTTTCTCTCTCTCTCCCTCTCCCGGAAATGAATAAAAACTTATTTAAAGAAAAATACCCAAAAGTGGGGTCCCTGGGTCCAACGACGGTTCCATTTTTAATTTCTTGAGGCCCCTCCCTACTGTTTCCATGGTGTCTGCCCCAGTCTGCATTCTCATCAACAGCGCACGGAGGTTCCCTTTTCTCCACATCATTGCCAACAGGTGTTGCGCTATGTTCCTGGCGGCAGCCACCCTGACCACGCGAGGTCACATCTCCCCATGGTCTCCATCCTGGTCGCAGGAGCAGAAAGGGAAGGTCCCACAGCAGGGCTGAAGCCACGGCTTCCAAATGATGTGGCTTAGGGAGAGCTGAGAGACCACGGGACTCAGCGTCGCTCTGTGCTCCTCCACCGCCTCACCCACCCTGGCGACCACCATGTGGTACAGGGGCTCAGAGCCGGGGGACAGAGGCTGTGCCTCTGAGGGGTCTTTAGAGAGGTCAAAGAGCAAAGGGGGGCTGTGCTGGTCCACGCCCTCCCCGGAGCAGGGGCACAAGCCTTTGTCGTAGCAGGCGCTGGCTCCCGGGGGGTGGAACCTCGGTGTCATGTAGTGAACTTTCCACAGCCGTCCACCTAAATGCAAACAGGGATGTGGTCAGGGTAGCAGGAACCTGATCAACGATAAACACCTGGCCCAGGTACTAACACTGGGGCGTGGTCACCAACACCGCATGTGATGTAAAAGTAAGAAGAGCCCTGGATGCTGTGGCTCAGTGGTTGGAGCGTTGGCCCGTGGACTGAAGGGTCCCAGGTTCGATTCCAGCCAAGGGCACGTACCTGGGTTGCAGGTTCGATCCCCGGCCCAGTTAGGGTGCATGCTGGAGGCAACCCATCGATGTGTCTCTCTCACATCGATGTTTCTCTCTCTCTCTGCCCCTCCCTCCCTTCTTTCCTCTCTGAAAGGCATGGAAAATATATCCTCGGGTAAAGATTAAAAAGAGAGAGAGAGAGACTTGTGTACATCTGACATCAATGTTGACAAATCTGTGTCCATGTGTGTGTGCATGTGTGTGTGCACAACTGTTTGTGTGCATGTGAGCGTCCCTGTGTGTGTGCGTGTGTTGTGCTCCAGCCACAGAGAAAGCAAAGCGACCTACTTCAAAGGGCTCCGTGTGGCTCTGTGTGGGGGTTAGAATCATAGGTGCCATTGGAATACTCTTACTCTTTTGCCCTATGACTTAACCGTTCAACGCCTAGCAAGCATGGTGTGGCGACAGCCTGACTGGCCAAGGTCTGGCTGTGTCCTCAAGGCATTCATTTGGATACAGGGCCGATAATAGAACCAGCCACAGGACATCACAAAATGAAGCCAACACATCCCTTCCCCCATCAACATGGTACCGCCTGGGACCTGATTTTTCTCAGCTGGTAAGAAAAGAATCTGCCCTGTTACAATGAATTTCATGTGTGCACGTGACCAGGTTACGATGCCCAGATATGCAGTCTGACACTAGTCTGAATATCACTGTGAAGGTGTCTCTATCTCCATCTATCTATCTATCTATCTATCTATCTATCTATCTATCTATCTATCTATCATCTATCTATCATCTACCTACCTACCTATCATCTATCATCTATCTATCTCTGTCTATATCATCTATATCTATATCTATATCTATATCTATATCTATATCTATATCTATATCTATATCATCTATCTATATCTATATTATTTATATCATCTATATCTATATCTATATATCTATATCATCTATATCCNNATCTATCTATCTATCTATCTATCTATCTATCTATCTATCTATCTATCTATCATCATCTATCTATCTATCTATCATCTATCTATCATCTATCTATCTATCATCTATCTATCATCTATCTACCTACCTATCATCTATCATCTATCTATCTCTGTCTATATCATCTATATCTATATCTATATCTATATCTATATCTATATCTATATCTATATCTATATCATCTATCTATATCTATATTATTTATATCATCTATATCTATATCTATATATCTATATCATCTATATCCATATCTATCATCTATCATCTATCTATCTATCATCATCTATCTATCTATCTATCTATCTATCTATCTATCTATCTATCTATCTATCTATCTATCTACCTACCTACCTACCTACCTACCTACCTATCATCTATCTCTCATCATCTATCATAAGTTTAACATTGAAATCAGTAGGCTTGGAGTAAAGCAGATTGTCCTCCCTAGTGTGGGTGGGCCTCACCCAATCAGTTGAAGAGCTTAACAGAAGAAAGACTGAGGGTCTACAAAGGGGAAGACCTTCTGCCTTCCGACCACAGCACAGACATTCTGCCTGATGCTCCAATCGTCAGACTCAAGGCAGCAGTCTCCATACCTGACAGGCTGCCGGCCTGCGCTGCCGACTTCAGACCTGCCAGCCTCTAAAACCACGTGATTCAGTTCTTTAAAATCTCTTCCTCTCTCTGTCTCCATCGATCCATCCATCCGTCTATCCATCCATCTACCTCTCTATGCATCCTCGCCCCCACAGGCCCTCTTGTTTCCGTTTCCCTGGAGAAGCCTGACGGGCACCCGCCCCCACGGTGTCCGGGAAGGCGTTGCACTCACTGTCCTTCTGGTGCCAGCGCACTGCATGGAGATCCACCCCACAGTAATGAAACAGGAACTCGTGTGCCGAGTGCTCGGCAGTGCCCTGCACCAAGGGCAGCAGGCTACGGCCATCAATCACCCTGATTCAGGAAAGAGACAGCAGGAAGCAATCAGACCAAGGCATGTGGGCTGTGTTTTGCACCCAGGGATAAAACCCCGAGGCTGCAAGGGCCCCATATGGAGGTTTTTTCCCCCCTCAATGCGAAAGATCTCAGAAATTGGGGACCAGGTGGTCTCATCGCACGTGTACCTGTCCTGGGGCACCTCGCCGCCCGCCAGCTGGACCACGGTGGGAAACACGTCCATCAGGCTGGTGGGCTCATGGATCACCTGGCCTGCAGGCAGGACTCCGGGCCACCGGAATATCCCGGGGACACGGATCCCACCTTCCCAGCCTCCCATGGCTTTACCACCTGTAAGGAAATGACACTATTAGAACGCTCCATGAGACTTTCCAGTCTAGACTCACACCTGCCTACAGGTGTGTATGTACATAGATACCCATGTGCACAGGGGGCCTGTATTACCCCAAACTGGACACACTGATTATTCCAGAATCTTGTGATGCCCCCCCAAGCAGGAAGACTCCACCCCTCTACCCGGGAAACTCGGGGGTCTCTGTGATCCCCTGAAGAAACAGGACATGGGCCCTGGCTGGTGTGGCCCAGTGGTTAGAGCGTGTTCTACCCCACATGTGACGTGATGTATTGAAATACAAGGACACGCACAGCTTGGGGCTAGGGTCTCCACCCCGCCTTTCATTCAGAATGGCGATTAGTTATTTATTTTGACATCTCTCTTGTCCATTAAAATGTAAACCCTTTGAGGGAAGACCACATGTCTTTATCTCTCTATCTTGGCATCGAGGTAAAATGTGGTCTATAGGAGATGCTCAAAAAATGCCCCTTGAATCCACTTAAATTTTTTAATCTTTCCCCGAGGGCAAGTTTTTATTGATTTGAGAGAAAGAGAGAGAAACAGCGATGGGCTGCCTCCCATACCCACCCTGACTAGGGATCGAACCCACAACCTAAGTATGTGCCCCACCAGGAATCCAATCTGCTATCCTTTGGTGCCCGGGATGACACGCAACCAACTGAGCCACCCAGCCACGGCTGAACCCACCTTTTTTTGACTTCCACTGAGTGTTCACCCTTCACTCATGGGACTCCCTGGGTGCATCTGCCCTTGAACCCTATGTCCAGCGGTCTTACCTCTGTATATTCCATTCCATCCCCCCTGCTGGCCGTGCCTGTCATCTCTCTCCTCCAAATGCCCTCCGTGGTCCGAGGTGAAATACGTGAGCGTCCGGTTTGTCAGACCATTCTCTTCAAGGGCATCGAGAATTTTACCTTCAGGAGAGACGACACGTTTCAGGACAAAGTCAATAAAACAGCATCGGGGACCAGAGCGCCATCAGCCCCCCTCTCCACCCGCTTTCTGTATTAAGTCACCGCTTGGTGGAAAGTCACGCGCAGAGACCCATCTCCAGGAGACCACAGTGATGGATGTGACTGCAATGTGTCAAGATATATCCCATTGTTCTGATACAGTAGGATCCAGAATAGATATATTTAAATATATTTTTATGGATTTCAGAGAGAGGAAGGGAGAGCGAGAGAGAGAGAAACATCAATGATGAGAGTCATTGATCGGTTGCCTCTTGCTCGCCCCCTACTGGGGATCGAGCCAATAATGCAGGCCTGCGCCCTGCGCCCTGCCTGGGAAATGAACCGTGACCTCCAGGTTCATAGGTCGACGCTCAACCACTGAGCCACGCCGGCCAGGCTGTTACCGTTCTTTAATGGTGAGGCCCAAAGTGAGTAATGCTGGGTCATGCCTTGAGTTACCTACAAGCCAGTCCATCTCCTGCACACAGTCTCCATATAAACCATGCTGGCTCTTCCCGAGAAACTCCTTTGTGACCGTAAGGGGGACATGCACATGCAGCAAGGAAACAAAGAGTAGGAATGGCCGGTGTTTATTCCTGAAAAGAGAGAAACATCGTTGAAGCAGAACAGCATCTGTGTCGACACTAAGGGGTTATGACGAAGGAGAGACTTGAGTTTTGGAAACTGCTACAGATAAAAGGTTGGGTTCCTCAAACTCGCCTGCACAAAAGGTGGGCGTACAAAATCCCAAAGGTGATACAGAGACTCAAATGCTATTAGAACTCATCTCCTCTTAAAAACGTGAGGGTTTAACAGTCACCAGCGATACGTCCGATAAGCGGTTAATTTCCAAAATGTATAAGGGACCCATACAGCTCAACAGCAGGAAAAGAGACAATGCAATTTAAAAAATGAGCCAAGGGCCTGAATGGACATTTCTCCAAAGAAGACACGCAGACAGCCAAGGAACATATGAAAAGATGCTCAACGTCACTCATCATCAGAGATGCAAATTAAAACCACAATGAGGTATCACTTCACACCCGTCAGAATGTGTATTATCCACAAATCACTGAATGACAAGTGCTGGCGAGGGTGTGGAGAAGGGGGACCCTGGTCCACAGCTGGTGGGAATGCAGACGGGTGCAGCCACTGTGGAAAACAGTGTGGAGGGTCCTCAAAAAATTAAAAATGGAACTGGCTTTTGACCCAATGATTCCACTTCTGGGAATATATTCAAAGAAACACTAATTCGAAAGAATATATATATATATATATATATGTTCATTGCAGTGTTATTTACAAGAGCTAAGATCTGGAAACAGCCCAAGGGCCCATCTGTAGATGAGTGGATAGAAAAGCTGTGCTATATCTACACCGTGGAATACTATGCAGCTGTGAAAAAGGCAGCTCTCTTACCCTTTAGGACAGCAGGGAGGGACCTGGAGAGTATTATGCTCAGTGAAACAGGTCAGTCACAAAAGGACAAATAACTTATGATTTCACACTTATATGTGGACTCTAATGAGCAAAATAAAGAAACAAACAAAACAAAAACAGGCTCATAGACACAGAGAACAGACTGACAGTTACCAGGCTGGAGGGAGGGCTGGGGGGCTGGGTGAAAAAGGGGGGAGGGATTGAGAAGGACAGGTTGGCGGTTACAGAATAGTCCTGGGGGTGGAAAGTACAGCACAGGAAACATAGTCAATAATATTGTAATAACTACAGATAGTGCCAGGTGGGCACTAGCCTTTTTGGGGGGGAGAGAGGGGTCCCTTTGTAAGGTATATAAATATCTAACCCCTATGTTGTACATATGAAACTAATATAACATTGTATGCCAATTGTAATTAAAAAATAAAATTAAAAAAAATCTGAACAGCCTAGCTGGGCGTGGCTCAGAGGTTGAGAGTCGACCAAGGATCCAGGTAATCAGGCTTCGATTCCCCGTCAGGGCGCATGCCCAGGTTGCGGGCTCGATGAATGACTCTCTCATCCTTGATGTTTCTATCTCTCTCTCCCTCTCCTGTCCTCTCTTTGAAATCAATAAAGATATATTTTAAAAAATAAATAAAAAATAAAAATAAATTTAAAAACTCTGAACAAAAATGGGGGTTGAATTACCTTTCAATATAGGAAACTGTTTCTTTTAGCAGAAGGCTTGTTACTCTCTCCAAAACCATGGGCTGCTGGGTGACGTCATGGTTTCTCATCAGGATGCAATTCCAGCGCCTCACGAACCCTAGGCTGGAGTACCAGGCGACGAAAAACAGAGAGAAGAGGATGGCTGCCCCCACGACCGCTCCCCAGGAAACAGAGATGAGCCCGCAGGCCTTGCCGGCTGCCATGGTCAAGATCCCCAAGGCCAGCCACTGGGTGTAACACCAGAGCTTCATTCTCAGAGCCACATGCAGCTGGGGTGGATAGTCTGGGTCACAGTCCGTCACCAGCGTGAAAGGCATCCCGTAAAAATAGTCGAATCCGTGGCTGAGGGGGTGGTGGCAGAAGTCTGTACGGGATTCACAGTTGACACCCTGGTGCCATTTTCCTGCAGATAGAAACAGCCAGTTGCACAAAAACCCACATTTAAAAAATACATACATATATATACGTTTTTATTGATTTCAGGGAGAGGGAGAGAGAGAGAGAAACATCGATGTGAGAGAGACACATCCATTGGTTACCTTCCACACGTGCCAGGACCGGGCCAGGGATTGAGCCTGCAACCCAGGTCTGTGTCCTTGGCCGGAACTGAAACGGGGACCCTTTAGTCCACGGGCTGATGCTCTAACCGCTGAGCCAAACCAGACAGGGCCCCAAACCTATATTTGTCTGAAACAAATCACGTTGTCAGGATAATTCGGACGTTCCCATGAAAAAGGAGGTAGGAAACGGCAGAATTTGAAACTGAGGAGAAATATGATAGAAATTTGAAAGATAAAGAATGTTCTAGGCCCGGATGGCTCAGGGGTTGAGCATCGACCTATGAACCAGGAGGTTACGGTTCGATTCCTGGTCAGGACACATGGCCCCCAACAGGGGGCGAGCAGGAGGCAGCCGATCCATGACTCTCATCATTGATGTTTCTCTCTCTCTCCCTCTCCCTTCCCCTCTCTCTAAAATCAATTTAAAAAAAATAGAAATAAAAATAAAGAGAAGTCAGATGGATCAGGCACGAAATTTTGGTTCTGACCCGTGACCCCTTTCCCTTGTAGAAACAGGGGATCTTGAAAACCCTGCTTTTCAATGGGACCAAACGACAGGAGCAGGGGTACCTATGAGGCCTGTTGCGTAACCGCGCTGTTGCAGGATTCTTGCAAACGTGGTTTCATTCTCGGGGAGTCCGCCAGAGCCCCCGATCCAGGTAAGGGCCCGCAATCCTCCGTCGCTGGCGTCCATGCCTGCAGAGCAGAGACGACAGGGAGATTTTGGTGTCTGCTGGCAGCCATGGGGGCTCTCAGCTGGGGTGAATCTGCCCTCCCCTCCTTCCAGGGGACAGTCTGAAGGGTCTGGGATTGGTGTTGGTTGTCACAATTGGGGGAGGGGGCACGACTAGCGTCTGGTGGGTATAAACATCCTACAGTGCGCAGGGCAGACTCAGCAGAGGGAATCACCCAGCCCCAACTGTCAGTGGTGCTGAGGCTGAGAACCTCTGAGCCTTCACATGACTCTATTTGTCTATCTATCTATTATCTATCTATCTATCTATCTATCTATCTATCTATCTATCTATCTATCTATATCTATCATCTATCATCTATCTATCTATCTATCATCTATCTATCTATCTATCTATCTATCTATCATCTATCTATCTATCTATCTATCTATCTATCATCATTTATCTATCTATCTATCTATCTGTCTGTCTGTCTGACTATCTATCTATCATCTATCTATCATCTATCTATATCTATCTATCATCTATCTATATCTATCTATCATCTATCTATCTATCATCTATCTATCATCTATCTATCTATCTATCTATCTATCTATCTATCATCTATCTATCATCATCTATCATCATCATCTATCTATCATCTATCATCTGTCTATCATCTATCTATCGCTATATCCATTTACCTATCCATAGTCATCTGTCTATCTATCCTAGTCAGGGCACTTGCAGGCTTGGTCCCCAGTAGGGGGCGTGCAGGAGGCAGCCGGTCGATGTCTCTCTCTCTTGCTCATTGATGTTTCTCTCCCTCTCCCTCTCCCTTGCTCTCTCTCCAAAAAAACCAACAAAAACATATTAAAAATAAAAAAAAATAAAATATATATATATATACACATAAAACGATGCCTGCATTCCTTGGCTCATGGCGGCTTCCTGCGTCATCAAAGTGCAATACTCCAATTTCTCACTTGCATCCTCGCGTCTCCTCTGCTGCCTCCCTCCTGGACCATCCAGCATCGGGTCGCCATCCCCACGTCCCTGACTTAATGGGACACCTTTCTGGGGGCGTGATTCAGCCCCCAACACCTTCCCAGACTTCACATCAATATTGCTGCAAAAACAGGGTGCCCCCCCCCAAAAAACACACAGATAGACACCTTAACAGCTGGTATAGCTCAGTGGGTGTTTCTTTTCAGCCAGACTGAGCTTTCAACGAAGAAGATTCATCCTAAAATGCTACTGGAAGTTTGAAAACGCAGTTTAGGTATGAACAATGCCTTTCTAATTATTCAAAGTGTGTATGCGGTTTTTTTGGGGGGGACACAGGGTGCACACAGTTTAACGGCTGATCACTCACTTAATTTTTGCTCCTTTTCGGGTTTAACGGATTTGAAATAATGGGTGACGCCAGACTAAGCTTTGAACAAACAAAATTTATCCACTAGACTTTATGGGGACACATAAAAGATAAAGTTTATGGTACGTAACCGGAAACAGTCAATGTATTGAGGGAGCACAGATACCCCACGAAATGATCCTGGATGTTGACGATTCCATTGCTTTGCGCTATCAGCAGGGCCTGGACCAGAGGGTCATCAGTTTGAAAACAGGCGTTGACCAAAAAAATTATTCATTTCTATAGATTCTTTTAAATATTGAAAATGAACTATATACTAATAAACAGGGACTTTATAATCATTCAAAATATATACATTTTGGGGGGACACCCTGTATTTAAATAACTAAACAGACATCACAGTCAGCTACCACCGGAGGGTTTCAGCATTTCCAATTATCACAACTTTTTTTTTCCCCACGACTGCATAAAACACAGTATGTATGTAATTACGAAACAACAAACGAGCGGACACAGACGGGCCCTTTTCCTGGTGGTCCCCACGACACCCACCTGATCTGAAAGCGTGTCTCCCAGTCAGGAAAGCAGCTCTGCTCGGGGTGCAGATGGGGGCGGCCGCCAGGTGCTGGGTGAGCCTCACGCCTTCCCGTGCCAGCCGGTCGATGTTGGGCGTCCTGGGCAAACCACACACATGTCACTGTCAGGAAGGGGGATGTGTGTCCAGCTCCAGCAGATCTTTGCATGGAGAGGCATCGGGAAGGAACTCTATTTGGAAACAGGGTCTTTGCAGGTGGGATGAAGTAAAGGCTCTGAGATGAGGTCGTCCTGGGTCAGGGGGGCCCGACGCCCAAGGACAGGGTCCTTGTAAGAGACACGGACACAGAGACGAAGCCACGTGGAGATGGAGGCAGAGACGGGAGGGAGGCAGCCACCAGCCCGGGGACGCCTGGAGCCCCAGGAGCTGGAAGAGGCAGGAAGGACCCTCCCTGGAGCCTCTGGAGGGAGCTTGGCCCTGGGACACCTGGACCTCAGACGTCTGGTCTCCAGGACTGGGGGTGGGGGACAAGAATTCCTGGTGATTTTAGGCCACCCAGTTCATGGTCACTTGTTAAGGCAGCCAAAGGAAACGTACACCCACCCACTACAATTCCCTGTTCTTGGAGAGGTGTAGGGCTCTCTTTTTCCCTGGAAAAATATATTTTTTGGTGTTGAGATCTGAAGCAGTCAGGAATTTCCTTCCTTCTACAGGCCGATTTTAAACGCATCATTCAGCCAAACACACACACACCCCACCACCACCACCACCAGCACCACCAGCACAGGGTACCTCAGTGTGTCGTTCCCATAGCAACCGAGGTCCCCAATGCCAAGGTCGTCGGCCATTATCAGGAGTATATTTGGTTGAAAGGCACCGGCTGCTTTTAATTCGCAAATCTTCAGGAGGAAACACACAGTGACTAGAACCGGCCAGCAGTCCCTGGAGGGAAACGCCAAGAGGCAGAAAGAAAGATCTGTCAACGTAAGAAACTTTCACACCTGTGAAGAATTTTTTGTGAGTGTATTTGAGCAAACTGTGGACAAATTTTGCCCGGACGCAGAATCTCAACGGGATGAGATGACGTTCCGGAGAATGGCAGGTCTGCCCCTTGTTTTATATATTACAATCTAAAGAGGAGACGTAAGTGGGTCCCATGAAATCCACGGGTGACAGATGAGGGAGGCGGGAGAAAGCAAAGCGGGGAAACCTCTGGGTTCGGTAGAAATGATAGACACACGTCTTTTACTCAGGTCGGTGCAGGATAGTTAACAGTCAACAATTAACTCAGTAACAACGAGGGGATTTGTAGTATCCACAGAAGGAACCCTGTGCCCTGAGGGGTCCGGAAAAAGGGAAATTACTTGGACATTCCAACGATATGTTATCGTAGATGCAAAAAAGACAATAGACAGGCTCAGTTCTGGTAAAGATGGACCTTTGTGAGGGGAGATGCCAGCCTAGGACCTGACGACCCTCCATAAACTGCTTTTTAGTTAAAACAGTTTTCATTTCAGACCATCCTGGGTGGTTCCTTTAGGCCTCTGAGTTTGCAGGGCCCCCCACAGGCCTCCCNCCTCCATAAACTGCTTTTTAGTTAAAACAGTTTTCATTTCAGACCATCCTGGGTGGTTCCTTCAGGCCTCTGAGTTTGCAGGGCCCCCCACAGGCCTCCCCCCAGCTCCTCAAGGTCAGCACGTGGCCCCTTTGCGTCCACAGGTCTATGCTGTGGAATGAAAAGTCACTCTTTCAAATCTAGGTTTACGCATTTCCACTAAACGTAGGATTTGCCAAAGAAATGCATCTGCCGCTGGTTCCTTTTGTCCCAATTGCTCGCATAATATAATAGGCGCCGGCAGGGATGTTAGTAAACGCGGTGCGTAAAACGGATGTTTGCTTTTGGAATCCTGGCCCCTCCTTTCCCAGCACCGGGGTAAAGAAGATACAAAGTTTCAAGTCTCACTCAGTGAAGGGCGGGGTACAAGGCGGGGCGTTCAGGTTTTGTGCAGGCGCCTCCCTTTCCCGGGGTCGAAGGTACCAAAAGTCCCGGTTGTTCCGGCTGCGCCATGTTGGAGAGGGTGGGGGGGCCCGGGAAGATTTGGGCATCGGGGCACTTACATACTAAAAGGTTACATGTAGGGTGATTCAAAGCACCCCAGACGGGACCCGGGGATACAGCAGAGTTGTTTTCGCTACATAGTTACCGCGCATTTGAAAGGCCCGTTGCTCGAGCGCCCGGAGCGCGCAGGCGGCTGTTGCGCGTAAAGGGACCCGGAGCGGACGCGGCGGCTCCCGGGCTCTCGCCGCGCTAGAACCCGGAGGGGCACGGAGCTGGGGTAGCCCTGATCCCAATTCCAGCCCGTCCTGGTGTGGGGGGGTCCCCATTTCCCCCATTTCAACCCGGGGGAGAGTCAGGGCGCAGAGCAGCGGTGCTCTAGGGGGACCCGGACTGGGGCGTGGCCAGAGAGTGGGGGCCTCCGCCGAGTTGAGGGGGAGGGGGTCAAGGCCGGACTGGCTGTCTTGGGGGGACTGTTCTGGGTTGGGGAGAAGGGGACTCAGCGTTGGGGGTAGGGGAGCGCAGGGCAAGGCGGTAGAGGTCGGGCCGCAGGAAGGGGGGGGGCCACGAGGGCGTGTCTTAGACTGTGGGGCTCCAGGGAACAGCCGTGCTCGCGAGGCTGGGGTTAAAACGTTTTTAGGCAAAAGGGGTGGGGCCAGGGGGGCGTGCCTTAGACTTTTGGGGAGGACCCAGCTAGGCCCCGCCCACCGCCCTCCTTTGTCTTTCTCTCGTCAGACCTCTAGCCCCTTGGGGCCGGGAATTGTCACCACCGCAGGTCTTTTGTGCCACGTCCCTGCACAGGCCTCGGGCTTTTTGTTGAATTCTAGGTGCACCCTCAGGGCTCTCACTTTGGACTCCCCACTTTCTCCCCCACCTCCACCCCGGGCCCCCAGCCCCAGGTCCCATGGGGGGGGCTGTGTCCTGGGGTCCCGCGCACCTGGCAGCGGCGGGCGGGGCGCGTCTCCTCTGCACCAAGGGTCCCATGGCGGAGCGCAAGCGACACGCTGAAGCCAGACGCACAGGACTTTGCCCTCAGGGCCTCGCGTTCAAGTCCCGCCCACGGAGTTTAAAAAAATCTGCCCGGTGAGGCCCCTCCCTCCCTAATCTTCTTAATCTCCTGGGAATAAATCTTTGAAACAGGTTTTCCTTCCTTCTGCGAGTTCCCGGTGGACACCCCCTGGGCGAGTGGGATCAATGAGGAGCCGGTTAAGCCAGGCTGGGCTTGGGTATGGGGACACCAAACCCTACCCCCCCACACACGCACCCCTGCCAGCCCTCAGGACCGAGCCCCCTTTCCTCCACCTAAGGAAGAATATATTGGGGGTTTCCTGGTGAAACCAGGCATCCAGGATGCGATTTAAGTGTCATGAGGGTCCTGGATACCAGATGGCTACTCTATGGCCAAGGGGAGGGTGCGCGTGTGTGTATTAACTGTGAGCTGGTCTTGTTGGACCTTCACCCGCAGGACTGTACATTGGGGCCTGCCTCGTGGTCATATTTAGGTCCTGGTCCCCCTAAACTACCCCAGAAGGAATGCTCTCCTTACTTTTAAAATTCAGTTTTGGCCATAACAATCCAGGCAGG